AGTGAAAATCGCTGTTTTCGTTAGATGAGCATTAATACACTTTTAATGAGCATCAGACATGTTCTACTGACCTTTAAGAGTCAAATAATGAGTATTGTGATATCAACTTCATATATTATAATTCAATTTCTTTTCCTTATTTTTTCTTTTATAAAAACTCATTAAATTATATTTATAATCAATTCTTATGAATTTCAATATGCGAATCTAATGTAATATGGTAATGTTATGACATTTTAAAAATGAGCACATTCGTACCAACTGAGCACACGTAACGTATAAATGAGCATTGATATGAAAATTGTAAGTTTTGTTAGTTGAGCATCAAACACCCTCTATTGATTATTCAGATCATGCAATTGAGTATAATGATATGTGCTCTCAGGTCTATAATCTAATCCTATTATGATCATTTCGGTCTATTGAGTATTCAGATACTCAATGAGCATAACATCAGTACAAAATGATTATACATTACTTACCAAATGAGCAATGATATGAAAATCATAAGTTTTGTTAGTTGAGCATAATGACATTTTCATTGTATATCAAAACTCCTTTATTGAGTAGTATAAGCATGAAATTGAGTATCATGATCTCCAGTGGCGGAGCCAGAGGTTTGTCCAAGGAGGGGCAAACTGAAGACTAAAAATTTTAAAGTGCGTGTCCAAAATATAATAAGAACAACAATGGCGTAATTAATTAGCAAAAAAATTATAGTTCATTACATGCTACTTGATTTACTTTTGCAACGTAGACAAATCAATCATACGAGTTTCATATTTTGAAAATGCTGCATAATAGCTTCATTATCAATTGCTTGAAAAATGTCTCTTTCGATGTAGCATACTAAACAATCCGTAAGATAGTCATCTCCCATCTTATTGCGAAGATCTGTCTTGATAATATTCATCACTGAGAAAGCTCTTTCAACTGTGGCTGTTGCAACTGGTAACACTAGAGCCAACTCAATAAGACGATTGACCAAGTGAAAAGATTTGTGAATTGTAAGCTTAACCATCTTCTTAGACACTTCACCAATACTTTGTAAAGTGGAAAATGCTTCATTCCCTCTCATCTCATATATCCAAACTTGGAGTTGTTCTTTAAGCTCCATTTGCTCAACAGCTGAAAAATCAGATGAATACAACTCCGCAAGACTGAGGAGACTTCTTCCAGTTACGGAATCCGGTCCTCACAAACACATCATCACCAAATCTCTTTCCTTCTTGCCCATGAAAAAGGTAACACCAAAAACAGAAAGCAGCATCTTCAGAAATACTATATTCCAACCATTCTCAAGTTTTAAACCACTCTCCTCGAAAGCTCCTTAATGACTTTCCAAATTCAGTTCGTGGAAACTTATGAGATGCTGGTTGACAAGCACCTTTAACAACATATGCTCTCATCACATCATCCCTAACCCCCGGCGCATATTCATTAATTGGTTTTCGTAAAAATGGATCACTAATAATATCTCATTCATGTGTACTTTCTATTTGGGCTCTCTTGTCCCTCTCATTCCTCTCATCTCTAGCAATATTTTCATTTGACGCAGTGGCATTTCCAACACCGGAGATAGACTGATTAGGAACAATTGAAGAATTAACACTTAATCTTAAAATAACCTTAAGTTGTACTTGTTGTTTTTAAAAAAAGAAGCCGGGGCAAGAAACATATTATAAGTAATACTAGTAAAAAAATTGGTCGGAGCGGGGGCGCTTGCCCCCCCTTGCCCCCCTAGCTCCTCCACTGATGATCTCTACTCTCGTGTCTATAATCAACTCTCATGCGAATTTAATATGCATAGATATAACATTTTAAAATGAGCATAATATTAGTACAAAATGAGCATATATTACTCCCTCCGTCCCATTTTACCTGTCCTACTTTCATTTTTGGGTTGTCCCAAAATAAGTGTCTCCTTTCCTTTTTTGGAAAGAAATATGTGGTTTACACCATTTCACTTTATTAAACTCAAATCTCAACCACAACTTTTACTTTTTCAACCACTTCATTAATAACCGTGCCGAGTCAAAATAAGACACATAAAATGGGACGGAGGGAGTACTTATCAAATAAGCGATGATATAAAAATCATAAGTTTTGTTAGTTGAATATCAAAACACTTATTGAACATCTAACATTCTCTATTGAGTATCAGAAGCATGCAATTGAGTATCACGGTCTCTGCTCCCATGTATATAAATATGATACGGAGTACTTTTAAAATATGTATTAATATGACATTTTAAAATGAGCATAAAACCAGTGTCAAATGAGCATATATAGTTTACAAAATGAGCATAAAAATTCAAAACTCATTTGAATTCTCTAATGTGTTCAAATATTCATTTATGCACATATAATCACAAATATAGTAACTTTATGTTAAAATAATATAATCTTTCGTTCTCGAATTACAAATATAATTAGGATTGGGTTATTTTTTATAATATTTACCCAAGCATGTTTATTTTTCACTATACTCATTTTAATATGACACATAACTCATGTTAGTAATTAACACATACTTGAAATAGAAAAGTAAAACATTAATACCTGAAATATGTTATAATACAGAAATTTAAAAAAAAATAGAAGTTTGATTGGAAAAAGGAAAAGATTGAGACACTCATGGGCGGAGCTAGGGGAGGGCCATCCTTGGCCCTGGCCCAGCCCAAATTTTAAAAATGTTTGTATTTTTAGTGTAAAAAATTCCGTGTAAAAAATTTTCAAAAAATATTCTTTATATCGGCACAGTCCGGCCTAGTGCTCTAGCTCCGCCCCTGGAGACACTTAATAATATTTTTTATAAAATTTATATTCAACATTTTCATAATAATTGAAAATAAAATTAAAGTTGATGTTGCTAAGAAAAAAAAGACAAACAATTAAAAAGGAAAATACGAAAAGGAGTAAAAAAAAGGAAATCAGCATGCGACGGAAATCAGTTGGAGACTTGGAGTACTGCATGCGGTCCAGGTGAAGTTAGAAACGATATAAGAAGTACCGCATTCGACGGAAATCAGCTACGAATAGTGCCCAGATGGAGTACGTGCTGCAGCGGACAAAAGAAGTAAAGAACAGTCACTAATATATCTATTGCTCTCAAAGTTGAAACTAATTTAAAAAAACCCGGCTGTACCATGCCCTAGGTACAGCCGGTTGTACCGTATAATTTACCAACTTCAAGTCTCTGAGTCAGCATGTTCTTTCCCGCAAATCATCTTTCGTCTTCTGCAGCCTTCCGCTTTTCGTCTTCGGCTGCCTTCCTCTTTTCCTTCTTTTCTTCCGCCGCCTTCCTCTTCCTTTCTTTCTTCCGCCGTCATCAATTCTGATTGTTATGTTTGCTTTTTGTTTCGTTTTCTTTACTTTTTTTAGTGGTTCTGAATGTTACGTTTTTTGTCTTTTTGTTTTTTAGTTTCTTTACTTTTTTTAGTGGTTGATTTCACTCTTTATCTTTTATTTTCTTTACTTATTTTCTTTGGTTTTATTTTTTACTTCTTTTCCTTTCTTTATTTGTTTTACCTCTTTCTCTTTTTCATGAGTATATTATACCGAGCACATTAAAAATGAGTTTTACTTTAAATTGAAATGAGTAAAACACTTAAAAAATGAACATACACAAATGAACTTTTGAATTTTTGAATACTCATTTTGTAAATTATGTATGCTCATTTAATATATCTGTTATGCTCATTTTAAAAATGTTTTAGCAATGCACATTTCAAAAATCTCATATTACATTAGATTTATATAAGAGTTGATCATAAACACGAGACCACAAATCATGATACTCAATCGCAGATTCTAATAATCAATCACGGGGATGTGATGCTCAACGAATAAAACTTACAATTTTCATATCAATGCTCATCTTGTAAGTTACACATGCTCATTTGTATAGGTCTGATGCTCATTATTAATTTATGAATGCTCATATAATATAAATCATGATTTTCATCAATCTCAATAGAGGAGTTTTGAAGCTGAATGAAAATGTTGTGATTTTCAACCAACAAAGCAACTAACAAATTCATTAATACTCATGTTGTAAGTTACATATGCTCATCTGATATTGATCTTATGCTCATTTTCTAAATGGCATATCAATGCATTTTTATACGTATTATTTTATGATAGATTCCTAATAATCAACATAATAGGTTTGATGTTCATTAAAAGTTTATTATTACTCATTCACAAGAAACTATGATTTTCATCTCAATAGCAGATGTTTGATGCTCAATTAAAATGTCGACTCCTAATACTCAACAGAATAGGTCGGGTACTCATTAAAAGTTTATTATTACTCATTCTCCAGAAATCGTGATTTTCATCTCAATAGTGGAGGTTTGATGCTCAATTAAAATGTCATGATGTTCAACTAACAATCATTACAATTTTCATATCAATGTGCACTTTGTAAGTTATGTATGCTCATTTGATACTGATGTTATGCTCATTTTTAAAATGCCATATCAATGCATATTTCAAAAGTATCATATTACATTAGACTCGCATATTGAAATTAATAGGAGTGAATTTTAGATATAAATTAATAAGTTTTTATAGCAGGAAAAAAAAAGAATTGGAAGATATGAAGCAAAAATCGTGATACTCATTATTAGCCTCATAATACTCAATACAATATGTGAGATGCTCAACAAAACTACATTATTGCTCATTTAGCGGAGTCATGATTTTTCGCTTAAATTACAAAACTGCCACCGAAAAAATATAGGCTGTTTTAATTGAATGGACTGACTTTCTTAATTGGATCTGTTTTGTGGGCCTTCCGTTGGATTCATTTAATTCTATTCAATCTGGGATATCAAAATTGGGCTGAAGTTTAAAAAAATTAAAAGAAAAAACCGGATGTACGGTTCTCACCCATACACCCGGGTGTACGATATACGTACTCGAAAAATCTAGTCTCATCTTAAAAAAAAATCTACAAAATTGATACTACAAAAATGATTAATCTTGACAATGAAATAAACCGAAAGGACACCAAATCCAAAATGTGACGAACGCATCTATGGTCTTGTGGACAAATATGGCTTAGAAATGGGCGAACCCTTTTAATGAAAAAGGCCGAGAAATCTTAACAGTTAAAACGCGGGTAGAAATGGACTGAACCTTTGTTACTAGTCTCCGGTTCAGCTTCATCCACCAAAGGCAAATCCATGTCGAAGTGGTGGCGCTCTGTGGCTGTTGCCGGCCACGGCTTAAGAAACGCGACGGGTGTGCCGAGCCGACGGTCATATTTCACCATTCAGGCCATCCCAAGAGAGGTCACAGGGAGCGGAGTTTCCGCAAGGGACCGAGCGCAGGGCCGTATCCCCGCCATCGTCTTCTCACAGAGCTACTTCCAATCAAACCCTAACGATCCGAAATCCATCGCAGCAACGACCTCCGTTTCCCGGAAACGCCTCCTTACAACTGAGAGAAAGCAGATTAAGACCATTCTCGATTCCATACAACTCCCGTTCTTTTGCTCCACTACATTTCCGTTACAGATCCGGGCCGGGTCGGGCTCCTCATCTTTGCTAGAATCCGGGAAAGTGCTTCCCATCAAGGCAAGTAATGATCTTTTGGTAAAAAATCATTGTATTTAGCTGTTCTGTTGCATGAGTCTCTTCATCCATTTTCCCGCAATGTAGATCCACAGAGATAAAGAGTCCGGGAAAATATTGAATTTGGTTTTTGTATGGGCTGAAGATGGATCCAAATTGAAGGTGGATATACCTATAGTTTTAAAAGGAGAAGTTGCATGCCCTGGTGTCAAGAAAGGTTCGTCTTGTTTATTATATCCTTTAGCAACATTTCCTTGCTTTGCTTTAATTTTACCTATAATGTTTTAAATGTGCATGCTGAATTAGCGAACTGTAGCAATAAGATGATGGTGAATGCTTCATAACTTCACTAATCACTAGCAATCTAGCATTATTCTGTGTGCTGTATGAGTGGGTTCATACTCTATTTTGAACAGTTACTAAGCACTTATCTAGACTGCATTTTATTTCAACATTTAGAATGCATGTATTGGTAGACACCCCATTTTTATCAATTGTTTGAGTTACATACATACTTGTGGAATATATGTCTAGCTGGTTAGAGAACTATTCGGATGAAGCATGATATTGGTCCCATAATGCCATCAACTGTTTCTAAATTTCTAAATATTGGGCTTAAAAAGGTAATGCAACATTTTGTTAGAAAAGTAGTGAAATTTGATGGGGTTGTTTTTCAATTGTCCTAAAGAAGCAACTTGTTTCTCTATTCATAAAGATTAACTTAGAAAAGTGCATCAATGCATGCTGTAGAAATCATTCTGGATGTATGGATCACTAATGCTTGTAAATTTTAGAAACATAGAGATGTAATATAAATTACTAGTAGAGGAGGTGCCACCACCATAGTCGACAATGGTGAGATATGGTGCGCGCCATATGCGCCATCGCCATGAAAAAGTGGTCGTCGCAATAGTGACATATGCGCCATATGCACCATTCATATATGCGCCATTGCCATGTGCCATTCATGTATGCTCCATCACCATGCGCCATGAAAATTGCATTTGAGCCATGATGATGCCATGCGCCATGACAACTATGCCACCACTATATTGTTGTGTACAAGTGTACAATAACATCCAAGTTTTTATCTCCAAAGAGTTTGGGATCAGCTAACATGAATTGACATAATAAATTGGAGTTAAAAAGATAAATAGAGAAACAAATACAGATCAATCCTCCATTTTGTTTTCTCCAAAGGCATACCCTCTTCTAAACCAAAAAGTATCATATCATTCCTGACCACCCTAATCCACGCCTATTTGGGTCGTCCTCTCCTCCCCACCTCTGATCCAATCTATTAATGTGTAATTTTAAAAAACATACAAGTGGTGGATTAAAATAACATTTCCTCCGAGTCTGAGCTTTCTAGTCGATATGCGTTTTATTTTACTTTTCAACCACCCTATAACCCTTTTCCTTGACAGTCATCTCCCCATCAAGAACCACATAGTCCCTTGTTATAGAATCGGAAAAATTAGTTTGAACTCTGAATTGGGGCACTGCTAAAGAATCAGCAACACTAGTCTGAACTCTGAATTGGACTTTGTGGTCTCAATTTCATTTAGCTTTTGAGGGGAGAGTTGAGATCAATTTTATGTGTTTTTGGTGTTTCAATTTTGGTTTTGTAAAATGGATTATCAAGTTAGAGGTTCATACATTCCTAAATACAAAGTTATATTGATAATGTCTACAGATATAGTGGGAGCATCTCATCATAGAACAACCATCATCACTCCTCATGATCAATACTAGGTCCAAAGTGTCGGTTTTGAAGGGGGAGGGTTTCGGGAGGGTTTCCAAGTGCTCTCTTTGTTCTAAAAACAGCCGTGTTTAATAAAACAGGCCCCAAAAATAGAGCGTGTTTTTCAATCATTTGCAATGGAGCCAAATTCACCATTTCTTGGCTTGGGATTATGATGGAATAAAGCAAAATGACTCACTAAACTGTCTGCTCTGCTTGGTTGTGAAGCAGCAATCAATCAATGTAATTTTCGATGCAATTTTCACCATGGATCATCCAGAAACACGTCTCTATGCTTTAGTACAGGGGTAAGACTGCGTACATTTGACCCCCCTTATCTCACTGTAGGTGGGAGCCTTTGCGGCACTGGGGTAATGATGATGATGATGATGAAAAATGCATGGGCTGACTGTTACTTCATAGCAAAGAAGCGTATAACCAGTTTAATGAGTCATTTTGCTTTATTTCATTATATTCCCAAGTCAAAAAATAGTGAGTCTTTGGCTGCATTGCAAATGACGGAAAAGTTGCATATGATTTATGTATGATAAAATTTATTTAAACCACAAATAATTGAAAAGTATGATTGAACATGATTCTTTTTTTGTGACGCATGTAATATGTTTTTACTCCATAATTTCTTATTTGCTACTGTATGCTCGACTTTGAAGTGCTGAAAAGATGAGGTTTATATGCTGCGTGCATCTTTTGCTACTCCATAATTTCTTATTTACTCCATATGTTTTGTATTTTCAATTTGGCCAACTACAGGAGGTCATCTAAATAAGGGAAGAAGTAGTCTGCGGTTTTTATGTCCGGCAGAGAAAATCCCTCAAAAGATTGAGGTGGATGTGAGCAATCTTGACATTGGGGACAAAGTGCTGATACATGACATCAGCATCGACCCTGATTTGGAGCTTCTGAGCACGTATCCTGAGATGCCTGTATGTAACATTCGGGCCACTTATGTTGATAAGTCCGAAACTGTGCCTTAGATATATCCTGATGGAGTACTAGTAGGTATAAGGACACTATAATTCTCCAAACGAAATCTAAACTTTTGTGTTTTTTAGACTAATGCATGGCAACCTTCTTGACTAGAGCATAGGTACAGGGATCGCAGATATGCCCGCGAATTCCGATCCGGATCGCGCGTACCGGATCGCGGTACAGTCGCGTTCGGATCGATTGAGATACGCGTTTCGGGTACGGCGTTTCCTCGTCGCAGTTCGCGTGCTTCTTCCAGCGGGTACGCCGATACCATTGTGCTGTTCGCCATTCCTTCCAGCGTCCAACGAACCGGCGACTCTTGAATTGATTTTTCGAACTCCAAGCGGTCGGCGACTGACGAGCTTCACAAGTACGAACTTCGTACCTTAAGAACCTAAACGACCCGACCCCTCAATTTGATAGTGTGAAACGACTTTTCATTTGTATTTTACACTTCACAATTGAAGCAGTCACACTTATTTAAAGACCTCAGCGTATCACACTCTGCACACCTCTCTACTCTCTGTTCTCTACTTGCCTCTTTGTTCTCTACTCTCTTTGTTTAATGTTATTGAAGTTATAAAAGTTAATTGTTTAATATTATACTTCTATTAATTATATTTAAACTTAGTATTTTCAATATGTTTATGGTTCACCGTACCATAAACAAAGGGTACAGCGTACCGCGTACCGAAATCGCGTACCGAAGAAGCCTACCCCCTACGTATCGGATTTCTAATTTTGGCGATCCGCGTTCACGTTTTCGTACCGCGTACCGAAGCGTACCGCGATCCATGTGACTATGGACTAGAGTCTGGAGATAATGAAACTTTGTTCGCTATACTTTTTATTTTGTGTTTCTGAAATGAATTGCCATATGGCCATACAATGGTGTAGATTGGGACCCAACACCCAATCACAGCCTAGTTGAAGCGGATGAAGCATAGATGAATTTGGTTGAGGGAGTGCAGGGTAACTTAGCAGAGACAATGTAGTCACCCTGTGGAAGTATTAGGGTCGGACAAGAAAACTGATTGTATAAAACTCATTGTAAGGATGCCTTGGAGTCTTGGACTTAGAATTATCTGTTTTGATCTGGGTTTGATTTGGTTTGTTCTGGTGAATGTATTGTATTGTAAATGTATGTATTATTGATTAAGTGTGTGGTTTGATCTAGTCCAATCAGTTTAAGTCTAGGTCTAGTCTGAATTGATTATTGAAATTTGTCAAAGTAATAACATCCTAAGTTTGTAACTGATTGTGAGTCACAAAATTAAATCAAATGAAATCGTTTCACCAATCAAGATGATCAAACCATGGAAGGTTCAAACCAATCGTTTCACAGCCGGCCTAACTCCTAAGCATGCACCTGAACGGACAAAGTTAAAATTTACTGAACCAGAAATTGACTCAAGTTCACCTTTTTGAAAACCGAATTGACTTTAATCAGAACCCACAAACACCCCTGGGAAGCATAGTATGTAGAATCTAGACGCTATAGGTCAACATACAAGTTTGAAACCTGCAGGAAATTTGAGAGCAATTAAGGGCATAAATTATGGGTACTGTTTGCTTTTGTTCAAAACTTTCAACCCCGTGAATGCCACTCTGCCTACCCCAATATATTAATATTAATCGGTACTAAATAAAACCCCTCCTTGCATTGGAATGATCAACCAAATCCCCCCATTTTGCTTCAATTGATGCATAAATAAAACCTGCGATTTTGAGAGTGATGATTAGGGGTGTGCATTAACCGGTCCAGACCGTATTTTAGACCTGAACCGGACCGGAATGGACCGGTCCGGACCGGACCGGTATAAACAGGTCCGGGTTTCGGTCCTTAGAATTCTATGATTCCGGGTTTCCGGTCCGGTCCGGGTCAAACCCGGAAAAAACAGGTCCGGACCGGTTGACCCGTTAAATTAATACTCCTTTAAATATATGCTCCGGTCCATTGATTAAACTTGGAAATTAGGTTCGCTGCTACACCGTCTACACTGCCAACATACTTTGTGGCAAAGAGTATTTTAGTTTATATTCTATTATATTAGTCTTTTATATTCTATTTAGCAAATTTGCAGGTGTTAAATGAATGCAATTAGTCTTTATTTAGACCGCAGGTTTGCCTTGTGCCATTTTGCAGGATCTACCGAGTACAAATCATGAATTCATGGATGTAGTTTATGCGTAGTTTTTATTTAGTCTATTATGTTCTCTCTCTTTTTTACCGTTAGTCTATTATATCCTATTTGGCAAATTTGCAAATGAGATTACTTCTTAAAGTTTATAAATGAAAGAAATAGTTATTTAAAAAACCGGGTCAATTATGGTTAAAACCGGACCGGACCGGAAAATTCAGGTCCGGGTCGGTCTGGACCGGTTAGTATCCGGTCCGGTCTTCGGTCCTTATAAAATTGAGATTCCGGTTCCGGTCCAAACCGGTTCCGGTCCGGTCCGGTCCGGTTTTGGACCGGTGCACACCCCTAGTGATGATGGATGCTCCTCCAACTCTCCAGAAGGTGACTACAGAAAACTCCACTCCAGAAGTAGATGATGATCAAGACGAAGTCATCGATAAGGGGTAAAATACCCCCTCATTTCTTTTCTTTCATTGGTTAAAGAAAATGTGCAGTGACAAAATACCCCCATTTCTTTTCTTTCGTTTTGTTGATCTTATATGTCTGGTCAGTAGCTTATTTAACTTATCAGAATACACAGAATAATACAAATCCGTTTGGTAAAGGCTATTCGACTACCGTAAACTGAGTTTTTTGCTTTTCTTAAAGAGTCGTGTTTGTCGAAATCCACTGCGCTTACTAGCTTAAAAACCGTGGGGTAAGCAATAGAATTTTGTCAAAATGACCATTTTTTGAAATGGTTGCCCAACATTTCTTTATTTTTACAAAATTACACCAATATCAAAGAAATCGGCTTAATCGGTTGAATTTGGTGAAATTGATGAAAATTCTAACTGAAGTCACTGATTTGACTAAATCTACTAAATTGTGAAAAAAATATTTAAAGTATATTTTATAGATAGATTTAAGAAAAATAATTTCATCCTTGCATATTTTGAGTATTACATAATTCAGCGCGTTAGATCAAAAGTTACATGTTTGATAAGCAGAAAACAGATAACCAAAGGGGTTCAAAAGTTATACGTTTAATCGTAGTAAAAACTAACTCTTATCATAGGTTGTGGATCTGATTAAAATGTTTTGATTTGAATTGCAGGTGTTCAAGCATTTACAATGTAATCAAAATGTGTTGGGAGTCCATCTTTTGCTCCGACGACCCTTGATTTGAATTGCAGGTGTTCAAGCATTTTTCTTCCGTTGGTCGTTCTTTCAACGGAAGAAACTCGCACGATTACATTATGCATGAAAGTAGATATGTTTTAATAATTTAATTTGGCTATGAATGGCCTTTACTATATTTTATGTCGCTCCCTTGTTTCATTTCAACCATTGCACGCGCCTCTCCAAACTTGGAAGCGAAAGTTTTGCTAGTCTAGTGACTCTTGTACGATAAGTAATTACTTGTTTAAGAGATTGTTTGGTTTGGGGATTTGAATGGAGATAATTGATATGGAGTTCTGTTTTAGACCCTCACACATTTAGAAGAAGTGAAGATATATATGCTAAATATGCGAGTAATTGACACAAAAATTAGCACTATCTCTATTATCTACATCCATATTCCCAAACCAGACAAAATTCTAATGTCTATAAATAGTGAATGCAATCAAAACTATAATTTTGGCCTTATTTTATTTTACTCTTGGGAATGAAAACATTACCTTTACTACTAGTGCAATCCCGATCTCTTGAAAATTGCAATAGCCCTGCTAGTGTTCAATAACTAGTTTCATTCAAATTATTATAATAGATATGTTGTTAGTGATTCATTAATTCATTTGTGACTGATTTTTATGAAAAAAAGGCCTTTATTCAATAGATGGAAAAAATCATAAACAAAATCAACTCAAATCATGCTTGGCTACCACATATAAACAACCACCAGAAAACATAACAACTTGAAACACTGACTGGCTGACCATCTTCATATGATTCGTCCAAGATACTAGCTCAACATTGATTTCATGCCCCCAGTCTCCCAACCATTTATTTGAAAAATCTGCTCTTTTCCGATTGCTGATATGATGAGAAACTTTGCTGAACTTGATGTATCCACCCTAAGGTTAACCCGGCCCATCCACGAAAAGGATATGCATTGAGGTGCACATATCTGTTAACCTATCATCCAAAATTTGGATTGGCAGTGGCTCTACTCATTTTTTTCAATTGATCAACTATGAAGAGGTTCTCTTATTTTGCAATGAATGTAAGACCTTTGGACATAATATCAAAATCTGCAAATTAGGGACTTTCAACCTCTTTCAAACAAGCCTCCCCATCCAAAAAGATATTCCTAAAAATGTATCCAGTGGTGAAACTGATCCAACTCTAAAGTCCAATGATGAAATTCATTCAGTTATGCTTGGTAATCCAGTGGTGATCTCTTGAGGAGGAACACCTTGCAGGCCTCAATAAAAATGATCACAATAATAGAGATCTTATTCCTCAAGCTGTATTTGAGTCTGATATCTAATAATATTATCCAAATTAGTGTAAATGTTTTGGAGCCCATTGTAATTGAGCATGAGGTTTTGGAGCCCACTATTGTTCGTACTAATGCATGCACACACACTCTGGTCTCCGCTATCCAATATGTAGATAATAATAATATCACATAGTCTGATGATTTGATCTAACTTGATGACTGGTCACAAAGATTGGTCAACCTAATTAACTTCCTCCTTAATCATATTAATGGTCATATTAATGCATAAAAAATGTCATAACGGCCCACATTAAGTTTCCATGGTCAACTCGCATAAATGTAGAATCAAATCATCAAATATTTGATCCAACAAAAACACAACTTCAATGAGGCAGTTAGACTAAAAGATGAAACTTTGTGTAATGTGTATTAAATAAAGGGAAAAGTGTCAGATTGGTCCACCTACTTTAGACAAAAAAGTCAATCAAGTCCATCTACTTTAAATTTAACCAATCAGGTCCACATTCTTTCAAATTTCAGTCAAAATGGCATTTTGGGCGGTTGCCAGCCAGTTCCCCAGTTACCATCTGATGTGTCCGCTTACGTGGATAAAAAAATCTGATAATAATGAAATTATCATTTAAATCTCTCTCTTCCTCAGCCTAACATAGAAGATAGAGGTATGAACAAATTGAGAAAGGATCCTAATGCGTGAGCTTGCTATCTTCTTCCTCGTCGGAGAGTAAATGGCATCTACATCATCTTCGACTGGGAGAAGAGGACGAAACTCCACTCTGGATTATGAGCCTGGGTGTAATCTTAAATTGGCTTCGTTTGGGTGTATAAGTGGCAGTAAGTTCTATGGGTGTCAAAAAATGGAAGGTAATTCTTAAATTAGCTTCGTTTGGGTGTAGAAGATGGTCGTGTAGTTATGAAAACTCTTGTTAACATTTAACAGGTACATAATTTTGGGTGCGGATATTTTGCTTGGGTGGATGCCATGGAAACAAAAGGGGT